GATTTTAAAAATGTTGACATTCCAGCATGTTTTGGCTATTACAGTATCTCTGAAGCAGGATTTGCGATGAGTGACTGGTTTTGCTTGTCTCACCACATTTGTGCAGGCAATTTGCAAACTGTTCAGGGGTACTAAGGCCTAAATCATGCACATTTTAGTAGATTGCACTTTTTAAAAAAATACTATTTTACTATTTATTCATCTGTTAATAAATGGGTAGCTGTGTGACGGCTTATCATCTCAAAGTAGAATTATTGAGGTCAAATTAAAAATATGTGTGTTGTGGGAAGAGACAGGGATCCAGGGGTTGGGAGGCATTTATAGTGACACATTTTAATTGATTTGCACTTTTTGATACTGTTTTAATATTTACTCTACAGTTAGGCCATGTAAAAAAAAAAACAATTTGTTGATTGTCCTTTAAAAAAAAATAATAATGTCTGAAAGCAGGAGGTTTTTTTTTCTGTAATAAAACCACCCCCTTGATGCATGCCAAGTCTTCAAATACCAATGGAGAGCAAGGCCTCATTTAACAGATTTTCCAGTGCAGTGTTTTATCCTGTCTTACGAACGCATCATAATCGTGTGCCACTGTTTTAAAAGTGAAGTTTAAAATAAAGTTTATTAATTATTATTATTATTATCAGTGGAATTTATACACTATCCCCTTCCCCTACACTAATGAGAGACAATAATTACACAAAAAAAACCAAAAAAAACATCCTATCTGAAGTTTGATTATGGGTTGAAAGATGATATTTTCCTTTCGGAAAATCAGTTGGTACATCACGTCACAAAACAAAGTGCAGGATAATTATAATTAGGCATTTAAACTTATTTGATATTTTGATTAAGAATTCTAGTGGATAGTGGTACAAATTTATTTTGATATCCTTTTGTTAGGTTTGATGTTTGGCCAAAAAAAATAAAGATAGGTAGGGTACTTTTTTTACAATTGTATTTTTTTTTTGATGTTCCAAAAATTAACTTTCAATATCAGGTGAACCTATGTTTTGGATTGTGTTTCATGCATGTTTAACACAAAGCGTTAGAGACTAGGAACTCGGATTATTTGTCACCTTGAATGAACCTTACAATGCGGACATATGTATTTTTCTTATTTTTGTCCATAATAACAAAATCAAATAACACAATAAACTGATTTCAAATTAAACAACTTTTTTTTTACGTACAGTAAGTAAATGTTAAAATATAGTTTATACTCTTTGGGAAAAACAATGTAACTGCCATGATTAGACAGACCCGACATTAAGAATCAGTAAAAAAAAAGAAGAATCAGTAAAAAAAAAAAAGAAAATACAAAACTGACATTCAGCATAGATATACCTGCTGGGAGTCTGTTGTCCAATGATGTTGTTTGTGAATGTATGTGGCTTAAGCTTTGAATGGTTTGAATTACATTAACGCAAACCTTGACTTTCTCACTGCCACATATTTCATTCCCACTATTTCATCTTTTTCAATTGGTAGCTGAGGACAAGCTACAATATCCAGTGAAGGCCATTGTTTTATCATTCACAACATTTGTTTAAGTGAACTGGGTGGTTACAGCCATTGAGCTGGAATATACTTCTTCCAACACTCCTCCCCTGTGCACTTTTACTAGGTTTAGGATATGATCACATCTAGTATACCCGTAGGCTTGACTAATT